TTTTACCGAATTGAAATAGATAATACAAGAAATACACTGAACAAAAATTTTCACAAAAAACACGAGAAAAAAACAATTATAATGGTAAAGTTATGGGTGTGAACTCAAAATCAAATTTCAAATATCTTCCGTTCATGAGTGATGCACAACTTGTTAAGGTCATATCAGTAGTGAAAGTTATTGTGAACTTCAATGGGGTATCTTTTTCTTTTTAGGCGTCTTCAATGGGGTAGTTGGAAGAATGTCTACATCTTTTAATTTATCTTTACATCAAGCAACCAGTCAATGGCAGCCCCTATAATTGAAAGACTGCCTTGTTGCTGTTGGTTTGTCAGTTCGGATTTCAAATCACATATCAAATTTATTTATTCATTGGTAACGAGTGATGCAAATTGCCCGACTTTGTAAAACTTCTTTAGATTTATCTGTGTCTAAATCTATCGGCTCCCCCTCCCAAGTCCCACCCAAGCCAGCAACTCGTAAGTTGTTTTCAGACATCCATCACAGTTGGTGACAATTTAACGTCAATTTAACGTCAACAAGGCAACATGCGGCACCTTGTGCAGCAAATTTAACAATTTCTGAAACACATTAAAAATGTTGATTAAGCTCTTACAATTCAAAATTGGCATCAAAAGAGTTAAGATTAAATAGAGTAATTAAGTTGAATTGACACTTTAAACACAATATAGTATTTAATGATGAAAATGTTAGAATAAAGAATGAAGCTTAGAAAGAACTAGCAAATAATGGACATCTTTAATTGAGGTGGCTCCCGTTTCCTTACATGAACATAACCTATACCTCCCGTTCTTTTTGCACATTACAAAATAATGTGAATATATAATATTTTATATATTATATATATAATTCGTTTAGTATCATGTGCCCAAGATTGGTTAAGGCAAAGGGGGCAAATTGTTTCTGATGAAGAGGAGCTGGATTAACTTGAAATGATTAAGGAGGGTATGTATTTTCTATCCTTAATTCCTTTAGTAGATGATAATCAAAATATAAAATCATATGTTATTAGCTAGACTACCCTTTTTTCTTGGTCGTTCAATCAGATTATGAAAAGGATCCTGGTGCAGTTTCTGATGATGATGAGTAGTCAATTGCATGGAAACTTCAATTGTTAAGGTTTTCATTTGCTAAGCGTTGATTGGTATAACCCTTAAACAATTTTGTGGATTTTTGTTTTGTTTTATGCCCCACGAACATAAATTGTGAATGACGGTCTGCACAGCAGTCTTAGTAAGTAGTGGGAGTAGAGTCTCTAAAGAACAGAAAAGCTTGCCCTGATACAGATAAATGGTGCTATACAAGATCTGAAATTCCCATTGAACCAGTGAATACTGCATAATCTACAATATTAAAAATTGGGAAAAAAAAAAAGAAGAGTAAATTAGATAGGTTAAAACCCCATTTTGGTCCCTCAACTATTGTACGGACCCCCGATTTCGTCCCTGAACTAAAAAAATCCCTGATTAGGTCCTTACTGTTTACCATTTTTACCCCGATTTAGTCCTTCCGTTAAAAATT